CCACTGCTCGCACTCACTGACAGCACCGAGCGATGGGACTGGCGCCAGGTGCTGGCAGCAGGTGGGAGTGGGGCCAGCAACAGCAGTGGGTGCGAGCAGCGGCTCTGGCACCAGCAGCGGGTGAGTGCCGGGTGAGACCATGGCACGTGGGAGCAAAAATTTTCAATAACCAACAGAGGCTCACCCCAATGACAGCAGTCGGCACCCTGCCTTGGTCTGGCACCCCTGCTCACCTGCTCTACCATCAGCAGCGGCCAACACCCACCATGTTCCACGTGCACCCTCTGGTGGTCAGTGCACGTCATAGCAACTGGTTATTCTGTTGTTCTGCTGTTTGGTCTATTTGCATATTAGGGTTTTATATATATAGATTATAGCTAGTAAGTAATGATGAAGAAATGAAGAGCTAACTCAGGCTGCAGAAAGAGACCTGTGGAATTAGGTCGCAGGAATAAATGGCCAGCCCCTTCATTATGAATGAATCAGTTCCAACCCTTGTGTTACTAGCGAGTCTGATTGGCTTCTCTTACATTATGAACTCAGCCCTTTGGGGAGGAGTGGCAGAGCACTTTGAGTGACAGTTCCAACCTCACTGCATCCAATAGGAAAGAAGCAGCTCCCCCTGAACATTTAGGAAGCTTTGGCTGAAAAATGACTGGGGAGAGGCTAATTATTCCCCAGGCAAAAGCAAGACATGGCATCCATAGGGCCATATGGAACATCATGTCACAATTAAAATTATATTATTACTTAATGGAGAAATGCTTACGATATAATGTTGGTTATAAGCCACAGATGCAGAGCTACATTGCTCTTCAGTAGCCTTGGAAAACATTGAGCAGACTAAAAGTATTACATGTTCTATATTAAAGACATAGATACCTGGTTGTTGTTTATAATGATGGCCCTTGAATTTAGAAATAGCCTAAGAATAGTTCCTTCAAAAGTTGTTAAAGTAAAAGGAAAATATTTATGGATTTAGAAAAGCTAACTTAGTTATCTGGAAAACTCATCAGTCCTAACTTTATACTTCAGCTTTGCTGAAGGTTTTATAATGTACTAGAATAAGATAGAATAAGATTCCAATAATTAAGAATGTGTGAATGATTTATACAGAACACTCAAGTGAAATTTTATGTATTTAGCTAACCATTTCACAAATAATGCAAATTAATGGCATAAATAAGATTCAAGAAGAGCTATGTAATTTTGAAACAGTTTTAAATTCACTATAAATATATTATAAAATAAATCTTATTTCATTTGTGTTAGTCTCCCAAGGATTTATGTTTGGACAGCACAAAAATGATTACTATTTTTAATAATTTTTAATTTCAACAGTGTTAAAAAATTAAATGAATTAATTTTATTTATTAATTGTTAAGATAAATAAATTATTAGTATTAATTAAATAGTTCACATAAATGAATACATGTTTTGTTACTCTTTAGTTACCATCCATTTATCTGAATACATATACATCAAAATATTTAATAATATCTTAAATTAATTAAATCAGGTTACTCATAACCTCAGTGATAGAAATTATGATGCTAATATGACAGACTTTTTGTGGTTTTCATGTTTTTATATAATTAATACAAAGACCCTTTATACTACAGTACTGTACAAGTTTTATTATAAATTTTTACCAAGTTGATTGCACTAAAAGTAACACCATTAATGTGTGGAACTTATAATTTTCATAAACATTATCTCATCTAATTTTCATAACCAACCTGTGAGGAGGAGAAAGAAGAGAAATAACATTTATTGGATACCTACTGTGTAAAAAGCACATTAAATCCAACTCCATCTGTATATGTGGTGTTTTCACTATCAGTATATAAATGGAGAGTAGCTGCTAATCTATGCAGGATTTCTTTTGGAGATCATAAGATATTCTAAATCTGATGTGGTTATGGTTGCACAACTCTGGATATATTTAAAACTATTGAAGTGTGCATTTTAAATGGGTGAATTTGGGGGTATATGAATTATATTTCAAAGAAGTTATGTTGAAAAAAAAAAGTGCCACTCTCCTAACTCAATTCTCATATTTTATAATATTAGCTTCAAGACCAGCAAGGTTATTAAGTAACCCTATGAATTGTTATAATTCTCTAAAATAAGAAATAAAAAAATAATTTCATAAAATCTTACTTTCAGAGACATTAAAATATAATCATGATCACATTGATAATGTGTAATAGTAAGAATAGTAGTCCTCAGGTTATAACACCTCTTATTTGTACTTAAAAAAAATGTAATCTTCTTTTTAAAAGCACAATATGTTTTTGGGATATCAGACAACAGAAAGGTACAACCATTCAATCAATAGAGAAGAAGAAAGAAGAAAGTATTGAAATTCCTAATGATGTACCATCTACATTTTTGCATCTAGATCTCTCCTGGAAACCTCTCTCTAAGGTAAGTAACAGGATTTATTCTCTATACTATGTAATTGATATGCATAAACATGCATATGTACACTCTAAAAGTAGAGCAGCTCAAATTAACACAGGACTTTATTAATTCATGTATTTATTCATCTAATAAATTCTTTGATTGCATTATTATGATGCCTGACTACATCAAGCAAGAATCACAATTATTGTGAACTTGAAATTAATATTTGTTCATGTGTAAGCAAGCCACAACTTACAACTAATTTGCATAATTATTTAATTGCATATCAGTTGCTTGATGGTGGGTATGTTCCCATGTTAGCCCCAAACAGTTAATTTTACCTATATTGCAGCCAAAATTCAATCTTTTGCACATCAATAGTAGGAAAAAGTATTGTAATACCTATAACCACATAGAACTGAAAAGTAGCCCTAGCAGGTTTGGCTCAGTGGATAGAGAGTTGGCCTGTGGACTGAAAGATTCCAGGTTTGATTCTGGTTAAGGGCACATGCCTGGGTTGTGGGCTCGATCCCCAATAGGGAACGTGCAGGAGGCAGCCTTTCAGTGATTCTCTCATCATTAACGTTTCTATCTCTCTCTCCCTCTCCATTCCTCTCTGAAATAAATAAAAACATGTTTATAAACTGTAAAAAAAAAAAAAGACCAATAATGTTGGTGATTGTATTTAACAGAGGCAGAATAACTAAGTTGAGAAGAATAACTAACCATTATGCTTGTTTTAACTCTGGTAAGCCTTATACCGAAAGGTCCATGCACATCTTTCTCAAGCTTTTATTTAACTGAAAGATTTAGGGAGGATGTGTTAGGAAACAGAAAACAAAACATTTTCAAAGAACACATAAGACTCTGGGATTTGGAAAGGAGCCCCCCAGATAAGTTCCCTTGAGTAGCACAGTTTTAGAAACTGTAGTTTAGGCACTTTCCATGGGAAAAGCCAACTAGAATTCTGAGGGAGAAGGGAGAAGGGAGAAGGGAGAAGGGAGAAGGGAGAAGGGAGAAGGACAGGGAGGTAGAAAACAGCAATCTGGGGGCAGAAGGGCAAAGCAATAATAATTTAAGGATATATGGAAATAATCTTCCTTGTATGTTCTTCCCAAAAGCTAAGACTGTCTAAAGGTGAAACAAGTTTAGACCACTGTCCAGTCAAGTTAAGCATGGTGTAAAGTAATTGAACAAGAAATTATTGGTACTTACCTTGAATGCAGAGCTTCAAGAAAAGCAATTTTTGTCCAACTGGGTAGCTCAATGGTTGAGCATCAATCTATGAACCAGAAGCTTACTGTTTGATTCCTGGTCAGGGCACATGCCTGAGTTGCAGGCTCAGTCCCCAGGAGGGGGCATGCAGGAGGCAGCTGATCAATGATTCTTTCTCATCATTGATTTTTTTCTTATCTCTCTCTCCCTCTCCCTTCTTCTCTGAAATCAATAAAAAAATATTTTTTTAAAAAAAGAAAAGCCATTTTAATTTAATGCCCTGGCAGAATAGTTCAGTTGGTTAGAGCATCAGCCCAATATACCAAGGTTTCAGGTTTGATCCCTGGTCAGGGCACATACCAATGAGTGCATAAATAAGTGGAACAACAAATCTCTCTAAAAATCAATTGTTTAATTTAAATAAAAGAAAAGTAATACTCTGGTTTCTCTTCAAATTGCATAAATATTTAGCCTTAAAAAAAAGAAAAGCAATTTTAATTTAAGATATGACTGTAGTGGGTTGTGTCTGGGAAGTATGACTGGACTGCTGGCGTTGATGGCTCTCTTTCTTTGGAATGTCTAAGTCTAATTCCAAATTTAAACCTTTTTTAAAAAATTTGATTTGTAAGTAATTCTAGAATTACATTATTTTGTATTTGAAGAGAGAGCATGAAGGGGTGAGAATTTTCCTGAAGTAACTGGGATTAGAAATTAGAAAGAGAGGATTAGAAATGTTCTGGGCTAGGATTCACTAAGCTTTAAATCATTGAAAAAGAAACAAGAAAACAAAACCTTACCTGAGAATAATGGTACAGCATGTGGACAAACATGCTGATGGAGAAAAGTTGGCAGGGAGCCATGAGGGAATAATGTAAAGTGTGGCCATTTTCTATGATGGTGCAGGCCCAGGGTACTTCTGAAACTCAGGGGCACGCCCCCCTCCCACCACTCCCACACACACACACATTAGAATTCTGAGGGAGAAGGGAAAAGGGAGAAGGGAGAAGGACAGGGAGGTAGAAAACAGCAATCTGGGGGCAGAAGGGCAAAGCAATAATAATTTAAGGATATATGGAAATAATCTTCCTTGTATGTTCTTCCCAAAAGCTAAGACTGTCTAAAGGTGAAACAAGTTTAGACCACTGTCCAGTCAAGTTAAGCATGGGTAAAGACCATCTCATTTACAAAACACAAGGTAAGTGCCTTTACTTAAAAAGCATTGAAGCTCTGGTCAAGATGGTAACATGGGGAAACGCAGCAATCACCACTCCCCACATCAAAATTACAACTAAAATACAGAACAGCCATCATTCACACCTGAAATCTAGATGAAACAAAGTCCTACAAACAGGGAAATTAAAGAAGAAGCACACAGAGACTGGTAGGAAAGGTGGAGCTATGGGGCAGAATCACGGAACAGCTGGTCCCATACCCATGTGTGGTGGTTTAAAATCGGAGGGATATCTTGGCTGTGGAGGTTTCCCTGAGGAGTGAGGGCTCCCCACCCCAAACTAGCCTAGGGTTCCAGTGCTAGAAAGAGAGACCCCCACAGCCGAGACTGACCAGCATACCCTGAGCGATGGATGAATGATTACTCTGACACATGTTTCTGTGAAAGAGAGGGCTAAGGGACTGCCTGGCTAGAGAAACCAAACAGCCTCATTCACCTGCCTCTTCAGGCTTTTATTGTAACAGTAGTTTGGGATAAAGTTTAACTTTTAGATACAATCACCAGGGTAAGCTTTCTTGGGAGGACACAGGTGTCTGCAGTGTCCTTTAGGCATAAAGATTAAGCATTAAATTCCAGCAAACACCTGAGAGCCTGCACATACACAGACTTGTTTGGAAAGATCAGGGAACAATTAGGGACAGTCACCTTCAGCCAACACCCCTAGGGGATTCCAATAAAAGGAGGTGGTTGCCTTCAGCCAACTCCCACAGAAAAATTCTTTCAGAATTTCTTCCTTACAAACTTTCCAACCAGGTCCCATACTACCCCACACTCCACAGCTTCTGGCTGTAAAAACTAGCAGGGATTGTGGCTGAGTGACAGGAGGCTGCTGGAGCCACAGGCAGCTCCTCTTAAATGGCCCACACATGGACTCACTCCCCCTGAACTTCAGCACTGGGGCAGGAGCTTGAAAGGAACCTGGGACAATCAGGGAGGAACTAACTTGTCTGGAATCAGGGCGAGAGGTGGACAGGCAGCTTTCTCCCAGACAGAAGTGCTAGCAAAGGCAATTGTTCCTTTGATGAGCCCTCCCTGCCACAGAGCCAACAAATAGTTGACGTATCTGAATCCTCATCAGCCTGGCTCACACTTTTCTCCCTTTCCTGGTGATTTCCTGACAACCTTCCCCTCCCTATTTGCAGGTTAAACCAAGCCATTTCCAGTGGCTTTTCCATTCAACAGGCCTCTCTCGCCTCATGCTTCAGACATTCCTAAAATCTTTCAAACAAGCAGCAGCTGGCCTGCTGATTTTGCACCTCCTGAGAGGCTCCAGAGTCAGTGCACTGGGTGGTCAGTTTTCAGCACACCAGATTACAACCCTACCAACTCCATGAGTGACACACTCAAGGGGTGGACACAGCACCAAAACCCCACTGAAGCAAGTCCTGCTCTTTAGGGGTGTCTTCTGCACAACAGTGCTTCCATTTAGTCACAGCTGATCCTCACAATTGATTGGTCTTGGAGTCAATCCCTCCTAGTGATGCCAACATCAATCAAGGCTCAACTACAATAGGCACACAGCCCACACAGGGGCACACCTGGAGCACCAGCTCAGGTGATTGGGGAAGCTGAGCTACTGGGCCCTACAGGATACCTACTATACAAGATCACTCTACCAAGTCTGGGAGATATAACAGATCTACCTAATGCATAGAAACAAACACAGGGAAGCAGCCAAAATGGGGAGACAAAGACACATGTCACAAATGAAAAATCAGGAGAAATATCCAGAAAAAGAAGTAAATGAAACAGAGGCAAGAAAACTATCAAATATAGAGTTCAAAAAAAAATAATGGTTATAAGGATGCTCAAAGAACTTACTGAGTACTTCAAGGAACTTAGTGAGAATTTTAACAACATAAAAAAGGACCAGTCAGAAATGAAAAATACACTAACTGAAATAAAGAATGGTTTACATGGAATAAACATTAGAGGATGCCAAGAATACAATCAAGAATTTGGAATATAAGGAAGCAAAAGACACCCAATCAGAACAGCAGAAAGAAAAAGGAATACAAAAATATGAAGATAGTGTAAGGATCCTCTGTACAACTTCAAGCAGACCAACATTTGCATCATGAGGGTGCTGGAAGGAGAAGAGAAGGAGCAAGAAATTGAAAACCTATTTGAAAAAATGATAGAAAACGTCCCTTACCTGGTGAAAGAAATAGACATACAAGTCCAGGAAGCACAGAGAGTCCCAAACAAGAGGAACCCAAAGAGGCCCACACCAAGACACATCAAGCAAGGACCTACCAGTATAACCAAGGTTACTCTGCCCAGCAGAGTTATTATTTAGAAGTGTGAAGGTCAGATAAAGAGCTTTCCAGACAAGAAAGAGCTAAAGGAGCTCATCACTACTAAACTAGTATTACATAAAATATTAAAGGGTCTTTTTAGAAAAAAAAAAAGGAAGAGGAAGAGGAGGAGGAGGAGGAAGAAGAGAAAAAAACATGAACAATAAAATGGCAATAAATGCATATATATATCAATAATTGAATCTAAAAATCAAAATAAATGAATAAGCAGAACAGAAACTGAGTCATAGATACAGAGAACATTTTTATGGTTTCCAAATGGGAGGGGATTTGGGGGAATGGGTGAAAAAGGAAAAGGGATTTAGAAGTACAAATTAGTTATAGCTTATGGACACAGATAATAGACAGGTGAAGGTGTGGAGTAGGAGAGGAGATGGGTGAGGAGGAACAAAGGGGGGAAAATTGGGAACATCTGTAATACTCTCAACAATAAAATTATAAAAATATCATTTGATAGTTTGAGTGTTAGTCACTTATATGTCTAAGGTTACTTGCTAGAATAGTTTAATTTGTTAAAAGAGTACCAAAAGTCAAACCCTCCAATATGGAACTTTATAATGGCTACTAGGGGCCCAATGCACAAATTTGTGCACCTTGAAAGGAACTGTAGGCCTTAAGGCTGCAGTGGGCACATGGGCGGGTCTCGGCCCATCCTCCACACCCAGCCTCTCCTGCTGTGGGCCCCTGGTCCCTTGTCTGCCGGGAGCCCTGCTCCCCCTGCTGCTGCCGCTCCCACACACTGACAGCGCTGCCCCCACTCACATCCGCTGACAATGCAGAGTGATTGGGGCCAGGGCCAGCAGCGGGTGCGAGCGGGACCAGTGTAGGCAACAGGTATAAGCACCTGGTGGGACTGGGGCACATGGGAGCAAAGAATTTTCAGTAACCACCAGAGGCTCACCCCAATGACAGCAACCAGCACCCTGCTTCAGTCTGGGGTCCCCATTCACCTGCTCCATCATCCCGCCATGGCCGATGCCTGCCATGTTCCACGCTATGCCACCTGCTGCCGACACCCACCAAGTTCTACGCACACACCCCCTGGTGGCCAGCGCACATCATAGCGACTGGTTGTTCAGTTGTTCCGCTGTTCAGTCTATTTGCATATTAGGATTTTATATATATATACTAGAGGCCCAGTGCACAAAAATTTGTGCACTCGGGAGGGGGGGGGTACCTCAGCCCGGACTGTGCCCTCTTGCAGTCTGGGACCCCTTGGAAGATAATGCCCTGCTGGCTTAGGCCTGCTCCCGGGTGGCAGAGGGCAGGCCCAATCCCTAGGTGCAGCCCCTGGTCGGGCTCAGAGCAGGGCCGATTGGGGAGTTGGGGCACCACCCCATGTCATGCCCAGAGCAGGGGGGGATGGGCGG